GCACAAACAAAAACAGAACAGACTACACATAGGCCAGGCACTGTGGCATGCACCTGTAGCCCGTTAATTGGTAGGCTGAGGTGGGAGGATTGCTTGAGCCCTGGAGTTCAAGGATGCAGTGAGCTGTGATTGCATCACTGCCCCACAGCCTAGACAACAAGGCCAGACCCTGTCTCCCGAAAGAAAGAAAAAGAAAGAGGAAAGAAAGAAAAAGAAAAAGAAAGAAAGAAAGAGAAAGAAAGAAAGAAAGAAAGAAAGAAAGAAAGAAAGAAGGAAAGAAAAGAAGAAAAAAATTCCAGCTGAACTTTGAATTTCAGATCAACAACAAATAATTTTTTAGGCCGGGCGCAGTGGCTCATGCCTGTAATCCCAGCACTCAGACACCGAGGCAGGAGGGTCACTTGAGTTCAGGAGTTCAAGACCAGCCTGGCCAACAGGGTGAAACCCCGTCTCTACTAAAAATACAAAAAAAATCAGCTGAGCATGGTGGTGTGTACCTGTAATCCCAGCTACTTGGGAGGCTGAGGCAGGAGAATCTCTTGAACCTGGGAGGCAGAGGCTGCGGTGGGCTGAGATCGTGCTGCTGCACTCCAGCCTGGGCGACAGGGCAAGACTATGTCTCAAAGAAAAAACAAAAACGATGTGGAACAAAATCACAAGGACTCGTCCCCAAGAACAGAGGTATTTTGTTACTCAAGGCTACTTAGAAGTTGAGGGTTACCAGGCAACTCTCCCACTGACCTTGAATCTTGGATGAGTCACTTCCCTTCTCTGAGCCACCCCTGTCCTCCGTTCCTCCCTCCCTCTCGCACACTCTACTCCAGCCACTGGGCCTCCTTGCTGTTCTAACAGGCAGAGTGCGGTCCTGCCCCAGGGCCTTTGCACAGACTGTGCCTACTGCCTGGAACGCTGTTCCCCCTGACTCAACATGGTCCCCTCCTGACCTCTCTCTCTCTTCTGTTCTTGGATGTCACTCAGAAAGGCCTCCTCTGACCACCCTATTAAAAACTGTGGCCCCACCAGGTGCGGTGGCTCACGCCTGTAATCCTGAGGAGGTCAGGGTTGGTGGATCACGTGAGGTCAGGAGTT